TTAGCATTCTGATTGTAGGGAGCTTCGAGAGAAATGAGAGAGCTAGAGAGCAAGGATTACCTCCATTTTTTCATTCTCTCCCCCTTGTCTTTGGGGGTCGGAGTCCTTATATAGTGGTGTCCTATCAAATCAGGCGTAACAGCCTCTTTCAAGTCAGGCGTAACCGCCTCTGTCTCTCTACCGCAGCCGTTACTCTCAGAGCTGAGGTGGCGGGTGCAGGCGGCTGCTACGGAGTACGGCTCTGCCAGTCAAGGGACAACTCTCAGGATTGGCAGGCACGACGCCGCCTAGCGAGAGACGTGGGCGCAGGTCTCTGAATTTGTCAGGTACAGTTGTCAGGCAGGAGATCTTCTTGCGATACGCCGAGCTGCCCCTAAGTGCCGAGCTGCCTGTAAGTGCCAAGCTGCCCCTAAGTGGCGAGCTCTTCGTAAGACGCCAGGCTGCCTGCAGAGTGGCCAGCTGCATGTGGCGAGCTGCCTATGCCGAGCTACCCGAGCTGTACCGAGCTGCCTATGCCGAGCTGCCTGAGCTGCCTAGTCGTCAAGAGGCTGCACTTGGTTTGCATGAGGTGCCAGGTGTCACAATTTCACTGGAGGGCCAAATCCACCCTCATCAATTATTATTATTATTATTATTATTGTTATTATTATTATTATCTACTAAATATTAGAAGGAAAAAATCTTTACAAGAATTTGTTGAAGGACCTATAGAGGTTGTAAAGGAGTCTCCTAATTGAAGCCAAGGGACATTCTAAACATTCATATTAAAGTCTAACTTAACTCCAGCCCCTAAAATCAGGTAAAGATCCTTTAAAGATGAACAAATAGACTTCTAGATCAGAGATGCACCAGTTTTAATACGAAAAGGGAAAAAGATCATTATTTTGTAAATATTTAGCCTTCAGTAACTTAATTCACAAGGTTGACTCTCAATTTAAAAACAGCTGGGCTAACTTCAATTGGAAAGCTTTGTTCAACTTAGGTGCCTTTTTAAGACGTAGCCCACCCTCAACCTTGGCCCTTGGGGAGCACAAGGTGTCCCAGCTATAGGTGTCAATTGGACTGGATTTGGTCCAACCCGATCCAGTCCAATGTGAGTCTACTTACAAATGGGCTGAATGCAATCCAGTTCAAATCCAATACAAACCAAATCCAATCCAATCCATTAAAATGTAAGTGGATTGGATTGGATCCAATCCAAATTGAATTAAATATCAAAAATCATATAAAAGCATTTTTGGCATTAAAAAAGCACTTTTATAAAAATACTTTGATAAAAGTATTTTCATAAAAGTGCTTTTAAAAAAGCATTTTATTGAATGTACTTCATAAAAGTGCTTTTGTAAAAGCACTTTTAGAAAAGTACTTCCATAAAAATTCTTTTGTAAAAGTACTTCCATAAAAATGCTTTTATAAAAGTACTTTCATAAAAGTGCTTTTGTAAAAGTACTTTTATAAAAATACTTTTGTAGAAGTGTTTTTATAAAAGTGATTTCATAAAAGTACTTTTGTAAAAGTTCATTCATAAAAGTGCTTTTATAAAAATGCTTCCATAAAAGTGCTTTTATAAATGTACCATAAAAGTGCTTTTGTAAAAGTACTTCCGCAAAAGTTTTTTGTAAAAGTGATTTCACTAAAGTGCTTTCATGTAAAAGTACTTTTGTAAAACTACTTCTATAAAAGTGCTTTCATAAAAGTACCTTTGTAAAAGTATTTTTATAAAAGTACTTTTGTAAATGTATTTTTATAAAAGTGCTTTCGTAAAAATATTTTTCATAAAACTACTTTTACAAAAGTGCTTTTGTAAAAGTGTTTTTGTAAAAGTGCTTTTGTAAAAGTACTTTCATAAAAGTGATTTTATGATGTCTTCAGTTTTGATTGATTTCAAAGTGGGCAAGGGTTTGGCCTCGTGATCCGATTATTGGAAATTTGGTTTAAGTCCAATTCAAACCAATAAGAATATGGACCAATTTATTTTGGATTGGCCCAATCCAATAATTATAATGGACATTCCAAATCCGATTTAATAAGGTTTGGATCAGATTGGATCCAAACCAAAACCGGTTGATTAACACCCCTAGTCCTAGCTACACCATTTAAAACTTTTTTCATTTTTTTCTGGGAATTTCACCAAAAATCCTACTAGATAGAATCAATCTATCTATTTACATATGCATGCAATTGAATCATGGACATCACATGATTGGGCACAACTTGAAGAACATATTTCAATAAAACCAATTTACCAACTTGAGACAAATTAGTTGCCTTCCAACTATTCAATGTATTTATTTATATGTATGTATGTATAATTTTTAAGATGGAAAAAATAGAAAATTCCCATATTCCTTAGTCTAAAATATTTTATATTATAAATTTAAAATTTTTAATAATACCAATGTAATTTTTAAATTTATTTTTTTAAGTGTATATCTTTTAAATCAACCAACCAAACTGAAAATTGACCCAAACCAATACAACCCAACTTGGCTAGTTTTCACTAACGGTTGGTTGGATTCGGGTGACCAACTCTCCAACCTAGCCAGGTCAATTTGGTTGGCAAATAACCTACAACTAAACCAAACCAACCTGTGAACACTCCTAATTTTAGTTAAACTAATAGTTTAATCTTCAATAATTATTGAAAATTTTCTATTAAATAACAAAACAAAAATATATTTATACATAATTATTGAAAATATATTTAGCACAAAAATACAACAAATATAAATTTTAGTATATATAAATATATAATAAATATAGATTAAGATTTTAAAATTATTATTAATAAATATCAATTTTCGAAATGTTATTTTCTAGAATTATTAATTGATATAAGTGAAATAATGTCTTTATTATTAGTACATTAATAATTGAAAATATTATTATATTTTTAATATCTATTAAAAGCATTTTTGAGAGTTATTACCTATTTTTGTGATTTCAAAGCTTAAATACCTCTAAATTATTTAATCTATATTAATATTTTTAACAATATAAACTCATATATTTTAAAAATGACTTAAAAACAAAACCATTCTTTATCAAAGTGGTGGCTAAGAAATTCAACCATATGAGTCTGATCAACCTATGAAATCATAGTTAGGTAATACAATTTTTAAAATATAAATAAATATATAAGCTTACAAAAAATGTAGAAAAAATTAGACACATTTCTTATATTTTAATTAATCGAATTAAAAAAATAAGTATAATAAACGAGAATTATTTTTATTGATAATGAAAATAAAATACATAATTTAGAACTTAGCAAAAATGAACTATAATTTTGGGTTAAATGTGTTAACCTTTAAATCTTTAATGTCATAAATAAATAATAAAAATAATAAATAGAAAAATAGAAAAATGAAAAAATACATAAACTTTGCAAGAAAAGCATTGAAGGACATGTATAATATCATTTATTTATCATATTAAACAAAAAGTATGTGTGACATATCAGAATTATTTGTATACACAAAAATACAAAAAAAAATTATAGACAAAATTGAACATATTTATAATTCTATATTTGCACTACTATAAAAGATATGAATAAGATTGTGGAACTTTCTTTTGATTAAAATCAATGTTTTAAAAACCGACCAAAAAATGGAATTGCTTTGGCTTCTGGTTTCCAAGTCAACAATTCATATGTCCAATTTGAGTGGGTTAAATTGGTAAGATGTAAAATATAATGTAACTTTTTATTTTGATTGTTAGATTAGGATGAGGTTAAAGTAATATATATATATATATATATATGTATATATATACATTATAATGAGAGAGGAATGTGAAACTTTGAGAATGAGGTAGCTAGTTAAAATTGAGAAGCGAGAAAGAAGAAGAAGAAGAAGAAGAGAAGCATTAGTGGAGGTGGTTGTCACCATATTCATTGATTGTTGTTGCATAATTGTTTTGCCTTGAGAAGAAGATGAAGAAGGAGGAGGAGGAACTGCTACCACTGGCTATCTCCATTCTCATCATCATTGCCGCTACAACACAGTTTGCCTACTTCGTACATCTCTTTCATCTCTCTAAATCTTTCTTAAATTTCAAATTGTTTGCTTCATTATTGTATCTCCAATTTTAATATAAGATCGACATTTAATCTCTTATTTCTTACATCAATTTTTCAATTTCTTCATTGGAGTTGCATTTTTTTTTTGTTGTTACAACTTAAAAAGAATCACTTAAATGAGAAAACTCAAAATCAAAATGGAAAAATTAAAAACACCAACTAATTATGGCCATTGAAAATAATCGAACAAGTTTATGAGGTTTGAAAGTTTCTTTTTCATTTTTTTTATTTTCTAATTTCAATTTCAAAATAAATAAAAAATTTGGAATTAGTTTGAATGCAACTTGAGAACCGTTGACTGGGTCAAACATTTTAACAGTTAAACCGTTTGGTCAATGGTTCTTTGACCATTTCAATGGTTTTTTTTTTTTTTTTTTTTGTAAAATAGCGGTTCAGGGCCAAAACATAACTAGTGACATGACTAGTTCTCTGGCCAAATGGTTCGATCGTCTAGTCTGATCCAATTTTTAAAACAATAACTAAAATGCTGATTTTTAAATTTAGTCCTTATTTAATTGTAAGGTTTAATTTGTAAATTGAATTACTACTTTTCACCTCATTCAATTCCTTTTATTTAAATATTATATTTTTTTGATAAATGAATAAAAAAAAAGATATACCAAGACATGATAATGATACTTGAAATTTTATAATTCGATCTCATTATATAGATGGGAGTGTTGATAAATAAAACCGAAAAAACAACAAGTGTCTTTTGAGGTAGACTGAACTCTATCTTTTGCTTTTATTAATCTCTTCGTCTGATAAAGAATCCAGCCGCGCGAGAATAGTTTATGAATTTTAAGTCATGAAGCGGAGTCTTCAGGAGATCCCGTCCCATCTACCATCTACAGTACAATCCGATCCAGAAGCAATCTGATTCGGACCTGGTATCAAATCCAACCGACCCGTCTACGCTCCTCCCGCCTATTGGCACGCTTGAAGAGAATCCTAAAACATAACTACCAGCTCATTTCTGCGTTTAATATTACCGGCCCCTCGAACGACGGTCTCCCTCTGCAGCTACACCGAGGTATGTATCTCTTCATCTTCGTCTCTCTCTCTCTCTCTCTTGTATGCAGCTTCCGCCCTTCGTCGAATGTCTCTTCATATTCCTTTTTTAATCTGATTTTTATCCATTCTTATAGATATCTGCAACGATTCTGTTAGTTATGCTCTGATTCTTGATTGCTTTCACGCCTTTATATTTGGAATCTATATTTGATCACATTTTTCTTTTCTCTTCTCGTTTTAGGGTTTTAGTCTGGTAGGTAATATCTCCAATGGGTTTCGTTCGTTTTTTCTTTGTTTAATTATATTTTATTTTTCGGTCGGACAATGAGCATTGAATTTTGCTCAGGTGGGGCTAGGTTGTTTTTTGGGTATCTTTGTTATAATCTCATGTTTCGGAAACCGGATTGGTTTAAGAAAAAAATTCATCGTTGTTGTTCATGAAGACATGCTAAGTTGGTAAAGCCTTAACGTTGATAACCAAATAATTTTTCTCCCACAGACACAAAATAAACAACAAACCCTTAAGCAGATTGCAAGAGAATCGATTCCATGGATCCTTACCATTACAACGTGAATGACCAGAATAACAAGGGCAAAGGAGGTGCTTCAAATTCAAATCAAGAAGGGAATGGAAAGGGGGTCACCTGGGTCATGGGCACGCCCGTTGCACCTCAAGCTCATCCCGTCAATCAACAGGCTGCTACTTGGGTTGCTGGTGATGCGACCCCCTCTGCCCCTCCTATTCAGGCTGGTACTGTCAGTTGCAATGCTCACCCTCAGGTCAGCAATCCATATGTCCAAACAACCCCCGCTCCTGAATCCTCTTCAAAGAGTAAGTAGTCAACTAGCCATGAATAATTTTTTTCTAAATCATTCAATGTATTTTAATCTTCTTGATATTCTTCCCTAGCTTATTTGTTTCAGGACATAAGGAGTTGGTTCTCAATGTCTTGGGTCGGTGGGGTAAAAAGCTAGAAGATTGCACTAAAAAAGCAGAAGGTTATGCAGAAAATGTCTGGCAACATCGTAAGTTTTCTTGCCCAGGCATCTCCTCATATGTAAAACCATATTCCTTCCTTTAGATGTTAATCTTTTGTTATTGTTTTTCTTTCTTTTGCTTCATCATCATCATTGTCGTTGTCTAAGCTTTTTTTTAACTCTAGGGAATCCTGTTTTACCATTTTGTTCTGTTCAATGTCATATCCATTATTAATTTATGAGTGCTCAAATGATATCTTATTGCAGCATCACTCTCTATTTGGTTGATACCATACCAGAAAAGACTTCAACAACCTAGAATTACATATCTTTGGTGTAAAGGCTGAAAAGCATTCAAGGAAGCATATAATGACAGATCTGAAGTGTTTTTGGTACTTTGAACCAAGTCAAGTAACTTTTGAAATATAATGAAAAATAATTGAGTGCCTCAAGTGAGGTGTAGGCAAGTCCTAGTTTTCCTCATTTGCCCATGTACCTTTACTCTAGCGGTCTAGCGCTATCTATTGGCCCCTCTTTTTGTTTTTGTTCTTCCATAGACTAAAAAATATTTACTGATCATTGATTCTGTTCCCACAACAATCTTTGTATATCCAATAAAAGCATTCTTATTTGTTTAGATCTCCGTCAACCATAAACATTTTATCCATTTACAATATTTTAAAAGATGGAGGCATGAGGACTAGAAAAGTATGAATTAAAATGAGAAAAAAGTATGGAACTAGAAAAAAGGACTATGCATTCTATATATAAAGTTAATACATCATTTTTTTTTTGTGATGCATACAAAAAAGTGACTTCCTATCTTTTTTTGTCCATTATTTATATAACAGTTAAAGCACATGCTATTACGTGCCATGGCTTCATATCAAAACAACACCCATCCCTTTTTTTGTCTTCATGGGGATACATAACCCTCCCAAAGTTTTAGTCCATTTGTTTCCCTCTCCYCACTCTGCTCACTTCTCTCTTTTCTTGCACATGCATTTCCACTCAACTAGTCTTTATATAAGAAGAATGTATAGATGGATTAACCATGTAGGTATAGTCAAAGGATACAAGGCACCCATAACATTAAAAATAACTGCATTGTTACAAATCCTTGAAGACTATTAGAGAGCTTTTAATGTAAATGAAAACTTGAAAAATTAAAACTTCAATTTTTTTTTTTGTAAAAGGTAATGTAAATTTATTCAAACCAAACTCAATTACAGACTGAAATCAGACCCAGGAAGGCAGTCTGAAAACAGCCAGAATTACAACCTCCACCAGGAGCAAGACTGAAATAAATATGACAAGTTTAGATTTCTGAACTCCTCAGAATTAGAAATCCAAGAAATCAACTTGCCCACTGCTCTGTAAATTACATCATCAGGACTTTTAGCTCTATTACAAAAAGTTCTACTATTCCTTTCTGCCCAAATGGACCACTAGACAGCAGCAGGGATTGTCTTCCACATCAAATTCCCTTTCTTACTTAGGCCTTTTGTTTTCCAGCTGCAGAGATGCTCCTTAACCGACCTAGGCATAACCCAACTGTTACCCATTGATTTGAGAAAATGCATCCAAACCTGTGAGGAGAACAGACAGTGAAGCTATGGATATTTAAAAAACCGATCGGATTGGTTCGGTTTGAAAAAATACCCTGTGAGCACCCTAATTACCAGTCCTCATTGGAGAGAAGCTATGGATGTAGAAATTCATGCCTTACATGAGAATGAAACTTGGGATCTAGTGGTTCCCCCTTCAGATACTTTTGTCATTGGAAGTCGTTGGGTGATTTGGGTCTACTTTGTTAAGCTGAAGTTTGATGGTTCATTAGATCAGTACAAGGCTCGTCTTGCTGCTTAGGGTTACACCCAGGAATATGGCATTGACTATGAAGAGACATTCGCTCTAGTTGCCAAGATTACTACAGTCCGTATTCTCTTGTCTCTTTCTGCTGTGCGTTCATGGTCTATTTATCAACTAGATGTGAAGAATGCCTTTCTTCATGGTGAACTAAAGGAGATAATGCACATGAAACTTCCTCCTGGATATAGTTGTGATCCCTCCCTTCTTTGTCGGTTAAAGAAGTCCCTATATGACCTCAAACATGTTCCCTGGGCATGGTTTGAGAAATTTTGGGATGTTATTGATGGATATAATAGAGTACCTCAGATCACTCTTTCTTTGTTCGTTAAAGATCTCAAGGAATCACAATTCTTCTGTTGTATGCTGATGATATGTTATTGACTGGAGATGATGAGGATGGAATCCAAGAGCTCAAATCTCTTCTTCATAATTCATTTCATATGAAAGACTTGGGTTCTCTTACTTATTTTTTAGGACTGGAAGTTCAACATAGTAATCGAGGCTACTTTGTTTGTCAGCAAAAATATGCTTATGATCTTATTAAACTTGCTAGTATTACGGACTCCAAACAGGTTGGCACACCTTTGGAGCTCAATGTTAAGTTGTCTATGACAGATGGAAACTTGCTTCCTGATGCTAATCAATATTGGCAACTTGTTGGTTCTCTCATTTATCTCACCATGATCCATCTAGACATCTCCCATGCGGTTCATGTTGTTAGTCAATTTGTTTCAGCCCCTCATCAACCTCACATGACTGCTGTACATCAGATTATTTGTTATGTTCGTGGCACTTTATCTTAGAGACTATTATTTCCTCCCTCATTTCCTATTCAATTGAGGGCCTATGCTGATGCAGATTGGGTAGGCTACCCTGACACCAAACGATCTACTTCAGGGTGGTGTGTTTTTATGGGAGATTCTCTCATTTATTGGAAATGCAAGAAGCAATAGACAATTTCTAAGTCATCTACAAAGGCCAAATATAGGGCTATGTCTTCTACCTGTAGTGAGATAGTTTGGCTCCAGTCTCAACTTGCTGGTCTTGGTCTCCACCTTCCCATCCCTATTCCTTCCTTTCTATTTTGATAACACTAGTGCCATCAAGATTGCATTTAATTCAGTGTTCAATGAGAGGACTATGCATATTGAAGTGGACTGCCACTTTATTATAGACTTGTTTCTTGTTGGCTCCATCTCTCTTCCTCATATAGCTTCAGACTTGCAGATTGCAGATATATTTACGAAGCCCATGACAAGATCTAGACATTTGTTTCTTGTGGGCAAACTGATGTCGAAAGTTCAGAAAGAGAGAAAGAGACAACAAATTTGGTGGGTGTGACACAGTCAGTCGACACCCTAAAAGATATATTTATATTAAAAAGGTAAAAGGACAAATCTACCCTTAGTGTACAAAAGAAAGAGAGTACAAAGAATAGTTATACAACAAAGAAAAGTAAAAGTACAAAAATAGCCCTATGTCTAGATCTTCTCGCAATCTCTACACTTCCCCTCAAACTGATTCCTAGGAATAAGCATCAGTTTGTCCATGAGAAATAGATGCCGAGCCTGAGTCATTGCTTTAGTCAACAAGCCTGCTAGTTGGGGCGTAGAGGAGACATGAGGAAGAGATATGATACCCTCAAGAAGGTGATCGCAGATGAAGTGGCAATCAACTTCTATGTGTTTGGTGCCCTCATGGAAGACAGGGTTGGAAGCAATTTTAATTGCACTAGCATTGTTTGCATAGAGAGGAACAAACGATGGTGGTTCATGAAGTATTTCAAATAGAAGAGCTCGGAGCCATATGATCTCACTACACATGGAAGACATAGCCCTGTATTCAGCTTCAGTGGAAGATTTGGACATAGTAGCTTGTTTCTTGCACTTCCACGAGATAAGAGAGTTGCCTAAGAATACACACCAGCTAGTAGTGGACCGTTGGGTGTCAGGGCATTCGACCCAATCAACATCCGCATAAGCCATAAGGTTAATAGAGGATGAGGAAGAGAAAAATATCTTGTGTGACAGGGTGCCTCACACATATCTAATGATCCGATGAACTGTAGATAAATGAAGTTGTCTTGGGGAAGACACAAACTGACTTACTATCTGAACTACATAAGATATATCCGGCCGAGTCATGGTGAGATAGATCAAACTGCTCACTAGTTGACGATAAAGGGTAGGATCTTCAAGAAGAGAACCATCATCTTTTCTAAGTCTCAAATTCAGTTCTAGAGGGGTGTCCACAATCTTAGAATCACTAAGATTTGCCAGTTTAATGAGATCAGCTACATACTTTTGTTGGTTGACAAAGTAGCCACGAGAGTTTCTGCTCACTTCAAGTCCCAAGAAATATGTCAAGGGTCCCAAGTCTTTCATCTTAAAGGACTCACCGAGTAATTGTTGTAGCCTAGCAATTCCTTCTGTATCATCCCCTGTAATGAGAATATCATCGACATGGAGGAGTATAATTGTTACTCCCTGCTTCCACCTTAAGATGAATAAAAGATAATCAGAAGAATTTTGTATAAAGCTAGCATAAGTGATGACAAATCTGAACTTCTCAAACCATGCCCTAGGAGCTTGCTTAAGGACATAAAGTGACTTCTTCAAATGACAAACAAGCTGCGGGTTTGTACAATATCTAGGAGGGGGCTTCATATAGATTATCTCTTTCAACTCCCCATGGAGAAAAGCATTCTTGACATCCATCTAATGGATTGTCCACTGTTTTGTTGCAGATACAGCCATCAGAAGTCGTAAAGTGGTCATTTTAGCTACAGGAGCAAAGGTCTCCTCATAGTCTATCCCATATTCTTGTTTGTAGCCTTGTGCAACCAACCTAGCTTTGTATCTTTCTAGGCTTCCATCAGATTTTAGTTTCACAAAGTAGATCCATCGACTTCCTATGAGAGATGTCTCAGGTGGAGCTTTGACCAGGTCCCAGGTGTCATTCTCAAGAAGGGCTCGAATCTCAGAATCCATGGGATCTTTCCAGTGTGGGTCTACTACATCCTGTTGGTAAGATCTGGGAATGTTTGTGGTAGATAAAACAGCGGAAAAGGAGCTATGGTTTGGTGAAAAACCATAACGGTTAGGTGRGCGAGAAATTCTAGAGGAACGACGTAAAGTAGGAGCAGTAGGTTCAGGGGGAAGGTTAGGTACACTTAT